GTAATAGATATCGTTCCTCATAGAAGTAGGTGTTCAAGGCTTGTAAGAAGTAAAACAGAATAAAAATTTTTGCCCAGAAATTCACAGGAGCCATGTGCTTACCTTGAAACTTTCTGTCAAGACTGGGCACAGCACTCCATAGAGACTTTTATAGAGTCTGGTATGCAGATGCTTTGGATGTTTCCCTTTCCTTCAGTCAAAATATATTTTGGCAAACTTTCTTTGGCAAAACTGTCTGGCAAACATAACTAATGGCATAATTTTCATTTGATTTCACAAGATATATTTAGAAATGTTTTATATCTTACCACTCCTGTGGATATATTTACTCTAAATAGTCTGAAAGGGCTCTTAATAAGGGGATCTTCATGAGTCAAAACACATAAAGAAGTTGGATGCAAAACTTATAGGTTGTTTCACCACTCTGGTAACAGCTTAGTCTTTGAATCAGGTCAGATTGTTTGACACTTCTGTACCTCAATTATATTAGTAATAAGAAGGGAACAATGCAAAATATCTTTCATATACAGTCCTGTGAATTTAAGGAATATCTTTAAAGTATGAGAAACGACAATTTTATGAAAGAAAAATTCTGAATGTTCTTTACTAATTCACTCCATTTTATATGGAAAATAAGAAAAACAAACACATATCTTGAGCCAGGATATTGACTTTAACAGTGCTAGAAGAAGGAAATGATACAGCATATCAGAATAAGAACTCAATTTGGGGCACGTCGTCTGTACTTAGAGCATGAAAATTGACTCCTCAGTAAAAACTAGATAATAAAAAAATGCAAGGTAGGGAAATTTTTGCTGTTTTCATAGTCAGACATAACTGATACTAAAGGAAAGTCTCATTTAGTCTAAAACAAAAAATTACTTGCAGTACCTCATACTCAAAGGAAAGAAATTATATAGCATTTTTTGAAACAGTTCTAGTTGTAAAATATTGAGTGATTTTTAAGAGCTGATTTGGAAGAAATGCGTAACATTTAATGACTAGCACTTGTGCTTCCTCACAGAGAAGTCACTAACAGTCAGTTATTTATGTTTCTTCACTATTACTGAAAATACTCCAAGACATCTTAGAGGCAAAAGTAACCTAGACCAATAAAAATCTTCAACAACAAATATATGTATAAATCATAAATAAGTAGTGATACTTCCCGTTTCCCCTCACTAGAACAAGCCCTGTTACCCCAGCTTAAATAGATTGTGTGTCTCATGATAGTTTGTACAAGAATAACCTCAACAATGCCAGAAAGCAAGATGGGTTCTTGTAGACCTTCACTACCTACAACTTCAAAAACAGGAGCCACTCCACACAACCACAACTACACACACAATCATTCACATACAATTCACAGCCCAATGTTCCTAGTCCAGCATTCCCGTACCATCCCAAATATCTTGCACATTCTTACACTTTCTTACACTTACTTACACATTCATATACTTTCAGCAAAACAAAAGCTATCGACATGATGATGCTTATAACAGAGTGTGAGAGGTGATAGGCAGTCCTGCACAATGCTAATGCTCTGAGAAAGAAGGAATTTGCTGGTAGTCCTGGAGAGTGACTAACCTAGGTATAGGAAAAGGGCACTCTCACTTGATCTGCTTTGAATGCTCTCAGATCTAGACATGCTCTTCTGCTGGTAGTTGACATTTTGGTTATTAAAAGCTCCAAGAAAAGATTAATTTGATCTAATATCCAGGTATAGACCTGTGCATGAAGAGGACTCTGGCACTATGGCACCCATGTTTTGGGTTTCTGAGGCCCAAAATGGGAGACCAAATCCAGAGCTCCATCCTGGGCCCACTGAAGAGGGAGTGAGGAGGATGATGGAAACCAGGAGCCAGAAGCTGAGAGGCAGTCAGTGCCATAGGGGTATGTATTAAGCCCATCCTCTCTGGGCAATCTCTGACCACTACTCACATTCAGAAGTTACAACATGAGAACAGTTCAGGGACAATTCTTGTATAAATAATATGAGTCCAAATGAACATAGAGTTGAGGAGAAAGGTAAGGAGACAACTCCCATTTAGATTTAGAAAGAAAAACACTCCAAGCAAAATTCTCAGTGCTCTTGCAGATGGTGGCTCAGTCTTCACACTGAAAATACTTCTGCTTAGTCATCTCAACTAAATACCACACAGGCTCTCCATCAAATGGTGCTACCCCCAGCACTGAGTGACTTCTGCAAGTGCCACCAGGTGTGTCTCCATATCTCTCTGTCAGTTGACTTGTAATGCAGATACAGTAGCTAGGTGGCTCAGACCCAGTGGTGATGACAGTCTGAAAGTGTTAAGCATTACAGAATTCAAGGCTCAGGTTGAGAAATTTCACTGTAATACGAAGCATGCAAAACCAGAAATGAACTCCAGAGAGGCCCTGATAAGAGTCATGTTACTTATTCAACAAGATGACTATTCATAACTCCTCCTTTGGGAACTAAATACCAACAAAAGCTTGGTGGCAGCAAATCCTTGAACTGCCCTCTTCAGGGCAGAAGGCTCCTGGAGGGAAAGAGAAAGGACTCACAAGGGCAATCCCAGAAGGCCACAGGGAAACATAACATTGGTTTGAGTTCAATTCCTTTTTCTTTCAAGGAGTGCTTAATTTTTGCACGCAGGCATCTAAAGGCTTCCCAGACACTGGGAGTCTGCCAAGGTGTATGGGAACTGCTGAGTCACGGCCTGAACCTCTGATTGATCACC